TTTAATTTAAAACAGAGTAAAATTTGCTTAATCAGAGGGTTCTAAATATAACATCCCTGTTACCATGGCAACCAAATTGAAAAGTTAGACTTTAACATCATATTTATTAAAGACATACCAATTGTAGTAAATGGTGTGAATTTCAGCTAAATCGGAGATATGTCATGTCCACATCCCTATTTAAAATTTTGATTTTTATAGAGAATTGATATTAAGAACCATGTAGGAAATTAGACTTAGAAACCCTTAAGAGTTTATTTCTATTTAGGCCAACTTTATCTAAATTTTAGTTAGGACTTGGACTTGCATCTTTATGTGTTTATGCTGTTGGAATTCATTATTACTTTAATAAACTGTCATTGTTACCCTACAAATTTGGACTTATGTGTTTCCTAACATTCCCCAAACCCTTGAGCTAAATTCCCCAAATGAACGTGCACCGCCGAATTATGTCTAAGACAGACCAGCGCGCGGTCACAAATGTACGGTACTGTACTAACTTGATCTAATTTAATTTCAGATATCCACTGAACAAATCATCTGAAAACTAAGGCTAATAGGAGAGGATGAAGAATACTTTTGTTAAAAGGTATGTTTTAACAGTGAGTAAGAACTTATTAATATAATTTATGTAGCTCTATTTTAGGAAATTAAGGACTAAAGCATAAAGTTTATGTTTTTATTTTCTATTATTTTGTTAATCTCACTGTGTAATGTTAAGCTCTCTATTTAGTATTTATCATCATGATCATAGTCAGAGTGTTTTGGGGTTGGGGGGGGGTTGAGGGGGTTTACATGTAAGCTGCTTTCCTCTACTTTTTAAGTTTTATATAATATATTTATTAATATATGTTTCCATGAAATAAACAGATGTTAACATTTTCTTAGGAAGTCTCATTTTGCGAGCTACCTACTATAATTGTATGATTTATTTAAGATAAGTATTATCAACATTTTCAGCTTCTCTGCAACCGCTCAACCAATTTCAACCAATTTTGGTGAAGGGGAACAAAATTTATAAATTTTATCCACCTCTCCCCCCGCGGGCCTGAGGGGTGGGGACAAAACCACTAAAATTCATGCAATCTTTGAAAATCCCCTTCTTCTTTTCCCCTCCTGAACATCAAGCAGTCAAACTGTTGGTATGATTTTAATTGGCATTGAGTCCTCTACCATAATTATGAAATTCATGACCCCAGGGTCAGGGATTGTAGTATTAGGGTGGGTCTTATAGCTCTTTGGAATTAATCAAACCATTTAAGATGAAATAAAACCTATGAAAACATTTAGTAAATTTTGAAATGTGTGGCCCCAGGGTTAGTGGTTCCTGTGGGGTGGGGTACACAACTGGTGGTTATAAAATGGAATTGCATTGTATCTTTATTACTCTGATCTACCTTTGGGTATTAAGTAACCAAAGTAAGCATGTAAACTAAGTGTATAATTATGATAAACAAAGGTGCGTCTTTCAAAATTGTGAATTTCATGGCTTTTTGTTTAAATTATGAACAAAATTCAATTGAGTTGAAGTTGTTAGGCCTAGAAAAAATTCTATTTGTTTCCCCTTTCAGGCTGAAAAAATAAAGGTATATATGTTGGTAATTATTTTTTTTTGAAACTTTTTTTTTTTTGCTTATTGAATCAAAAAGTGTATAGAAGTAACATTAATGACAAAAGAAATGGTGTTTTCAAGCATTTCTGTGACTTAAAAGAAAGGTAACTCAAACTTCTTTCTATCTTGAACATGTTTGAAAAGCCTGCAAAGTTGGAGACTATAATAAATTCCCTGGGTGAAATCTTGCACTTCATGGGACAAAAGCATTAAAAAAATTTAGAGTTGGCACTATATATTAGGGTCGGTCGGGAACAAACATATTTTTTTTTCTAGGCTTTACATGATACTCAGGTGACCTATAAGGTCTGTGGGCCTCTAGTTGTTATTCAAATATCATGAATCATGGTCTAAGGGTCTAGGTTAGGGGTACAAAAAATATTTTGATGAACAAGTAAAATGAAGAAAAAAATCCTTAATTTACTCTGAAAATCTTATCAGAAACAAATCCATACATACATATTCATTACATTTAAATACATTCAAGTTTGTTTATTTCATTATCCCTTGTCAAGTGTTTAAAAGAGGCAACTTTAATAAACTTTTGAGATTTTACACTTGATAAATTTTTATACGCCTGTCTTAAGACGGGACGTATTATGTTATAGGCTTCGTGTCCGTCCGTCTGTCCGTCTGTCTGTTAGCTTTTTCGTTTCCGGCTCATAACTTTAATACTACTAGGCCTAGGATTACCAAACTTTGTCATCTGATGCATCTTGGGTAGAAGGTGTGTTGCGCACAAAAAGTAGGTCGCTCTGACCTTTAATTAAGAAGTTATAGCCAAATATGGAAAAATCCTTTCCAGCCCATAGCTAGAAAACAATAAGACCTACAATCATCAAACTTGGCCAGTTTATGCATCTTAGGTAGAAGGTGTGTAGCGACCTATTTCAAGGTCACTGTGACCTTTAATTTAAGTGAATTTTTAAAAAAAAATGTGTCTTTTTACTATTCATTTACACATCCCAAATAATGTAAGAGTATTGCACTGTTCTTATTAAAAAAGTGTTAAATCAAGAAAATACTTATTTTTTTTAAGCATATACTTGACAGCAATCTAAAACAAATATAATGTATGTTAGAGAAATCCCATGTCTCCCATGAGTGTAATTATCAAGCCCTGGTCAAGACTCAAGAAGAATTTTGATAACAGAAAATTGCATGTCAAATTAGAGAGAAATTAATGGATTTTGAGTGCGAGGAGCTAATTGACATAGCATTGGCGGTTATCTATATCCCTTGAGAATTGGGCAAATGGGAAGCCTGTTTGATTAAAAATAGCTCTTGTTGACTAGCTTAAGTTTTAAAATGAATTTGATGAAAAGTAATTAAAACTAATTTGATATTGCATAATAGACTAATCTGATATTATGTTATATTATTAATTTAAAAACTAATTTTATGGGGTGGGGTTGAATCAGCATGTCCATATGAATTACATACTAAAACCTGTCGGACATTAAATCTCAACCAAAAAAAAAAATCTGAGAGTATTTTACATGTTTTTAAAAAAAAATTATAGTAGATAGTGCAGACCCATTCATCTCTTGGTAGTAATGAGTAGACAAGCATCCAGTTGAAGATTAATTAATGAGTTCAATGTAGGAAGGCTAGCTGCCTCAGTCGCTCTGATTAAGCAACCCTTTGGGGATTAGACAGAAGAACTGCTGGTCAGTTTATAACATATGTCATTTGATGGCCAGCCTTTTTTTTCAAAATTAATTTGGTATAGATTAAGTTGTTAAGACTAATTTGATGATGGGCATTTGACAAGGTCTAACACAACCAGCACAGAAATCTATCAGTGATGTAATATTTATTATAATTGATGCCTACATCACAGGGGATGGATAAATGACAAATCATCGAAATCTTAGAATCAAGGTTGATGTGATTTTCTTGCACCTAAACTGTTCAAGAAAATTGTAATTTTTTGACGGGCGTATCATGCTGTGGCGCGGCACTTTATTAGATTTTATTTTAAATCATTCTGATCAAAAATGCTGAAAATCTGAAATTAATCAAACAAAGGCTTGTGCTAGAACAGTTTTAGGAACTTTCAGTTTGTCAATCTTATTAAAATTAAATGTTAGATCTGTGCACATATTGGCTAAAATCTAATGGCATCCTGTAGAGTGTCACGTCAGACGTTAAATTCTATTAACCAATCAAATACTTGAATGCAAAAGTTATTGTATTTAATTTATTGGAATGAATAAGCCTAGAGTCTGAGTTGTTCCGTATTTGACATTTGACGTGACCTTCTATGGATGCTATTAGATGTTGTGTAGTGAGTATGCAAGAGAATCTAACAGGTTGTTTTATTTAGATTGGGATTTTGTTAAACTATATTTTAATATATTTCAAATAGGTTGAGGTAATTGACGAGCAGGTCAATCCAACTTGAACTTGAAGTGCAAGTGGGTCTTTAAAAATGTGGACCACTCAAGGACTTTTCTGTTGGTTGATGATGGACTACAAACTGAATATTTAACAAAGAAATCCACTTTGGTGCTTATTGGCTACTAATGATGTGAACTTGTGCATTTATAATGCTAAGTACTTTTACATTTCCTTGATGATACTAGACTTGCATATACCAAATTCATGTTTAGTTGATTGATTGCAGTTCTAAGTTCCTTTCGCAAAATTATATCTCTCATGTATGAGACATCATTAAATGCAGACATTTTCTCTGTCCTCCTGTTGTGACATGAGAGCTGGACTTAGTTGTAAAAATATTTATGATGCAAGAGAAAATAAATGGCCAAGCCAATGTATGTAAATGTTGATAATAACATTAAATATTCTTTGATAACTAGTGTGAGTGTGTTTTGTTTTTTCCAATATGAAAATTCAGGGGGAAAATGAGTTTTGGTTGAAAAGCTGGGCTAAATTGTATAATTTATAGTACAGTTTCTGTTGCGGAAACCTATGGTACACCATATGTATTTCAACCGTATATGCATACTGAAACCTTGCGTAAACCTCAAGTTTCGGCAAGTTTCAGTTGCGGAAACCTATGGTACACCATATGTATTCCAACCGTATATGCATACTGAAACCTTGCGTAAACCTCAACTTTCAGCAAGTTTCAGTTGCGGAAACTTATGGTACACCATATGTATTTCAACCATATACGCATACTGAAACTTGCGTATACCTCAAGTTTCAGCAAGTTTCAGTTGCGGAAACTATTTGGATTCGTGGACACCTTTGGTTTCCGCACTGCGGAAACTTGATGAAACTTGAAGTTTCCGCACTGAAACTTTGCGGAAACTATTAGTAACCTAAAGTTTCCGCAGAGTTTCAGTAGAGTTTCAGCCATGCGGAAACTGTATTTTTCATCCAGTATACACTTCAGATATTTCAATATATTCTTACTTGAGAGCATAATGTGATCTATCACTCCTCTAAGCTCCAGTTGAAGGGAGGAAGCAAATTGGGTTCGTGACCCTGACACTTGACCCCATGACCCTGTTTGACCTTGACCTGCTGTGGAGTCCAGCATGGTGAGGAAGTGTGAGGTTTCGTCGTCGGTGACAGAATCCTGACAGAAACACTGACGTAGATTTGTCATCAGAGTCAGGATGATCCCAGCCACAGGGGCAGTTAACTCTGTCAAGGCATCATCTTCTGTCACCTAAAAATAATGGATAGATTGGTATTAAATGTAGTATCAAGGGACGCAATACTAAAATTTTTTTCTCTGTAAAATCAAAATTTCCCCTCCTTTTTCCAATGACAATGACAATGAAAGCAATTGTCAAGTACATGAATATTGTGATAGAAGGAAAATGTTACGTACAGTACCATTTTTCCATACATCTTTTTGCAAGATTTACACTTTAACCTTAAGTATACAGATGAAATTTGGCCAATACCTGGCATTAATTAGATGCTCATGTTTTGGTATATTAAAACCAGATCCCTTAGGGTTAGTAAACAAGACACACAGATATTGTTTTTACCTTCTCTGTAGTTCCTGTAGCAGCTCAAACAGTACGGTCTGTCTGTCCTCAGCAGTCAGTAGGTCCTCAGGACACGTGGTCAGCAGAACCTCCGTCACCTGACGCCCCACCTCCAGAGCCTGCTGTTTGGTGGACAGTTCCTGTCGGATTCTGTTACGTAGCACCACATGATGCAGAATATTCTCAACTTCCTGAAAAATTTATAAAACTTTTATATTTTGCTGAAATGTTGACAACCTTGGGGCAGGTCAAAGAAATTAAGACAACATGAAAAAGACAGTCATCGTGGAGAAGGGTGAAATCAATGGCATAAGATTGGGCTGGGAAGAGAGACTGTGTAGCTTTACATCACCTGACACAAAGAGGATTAAGTAAGGATCTTAAATGCTTAATAATTGGGATATCGATCTCACCTCTACAACTCGAGGTCTCTGAGTCACCATGATATCGATCTCACCTCTAAAACTCGAGGTCTCTGAGTAACCATGATATTGCCATGGTAGTTGTTAAGTTCGTTCATCAGTAGGCAGTGAAGTCGTTTGACATCACAATACAAAATGTCCTGTTCGGTCGGAGTTTCTACACTTTTAATGGCTTGTTCAATCATCGACGATTCTAAAAACTCCAACTTCATTGTAGGAGGGTAACGCTGTGAAAAGTCAACTTCATACAGAAATCCTAGTAACTTCCTGCTCACTTGGCGGCCTGAACAAGAAAAATAAAGCCTGAACAAGTGTTTATGAGCAAAAGAAGAGCAGTGTGATAATTTTTTATGTTTTTCTTTGCTTACTCCTGAACGGTCTGGCTGTCTGAGACAGATAAGATTTCTGTAGACTCTGTTCCGTAAATATGTCATACTTCAGGTCAGCTTCGTCTTCTAATGCTGGCTGTAACACTGTGAGAATCACATTTATTACGTACTTTCTTTAGCAAATCAGACCGTTTTGATTTTTTGTAAGGCTGTTATTAAACCTGATGTTGTGATATGTGTATTGTTTCATCATGTATATTATTAGTAACATTAAGTTTCTTGAACATTCCAGAGTGGTCAATATGTTCGGTCATTCTATCTAAAACATTCTTGAATTTTGAGTATGTCCAGATTGTTCCAGTAATATCATGTTTTAACAATTTCTAGAATATTCTAGATTTATAATACTATATAAATACCCTGTCAATTCGATGCATAGATATACTTTTGTCGTATAAGCACTATTGAGATATAACTGG